ACAGCACCTGAAATACTCACCTGACCACATAACATTGGAATTTGACACTCTCGCTTTTCCCAACCTAAATACTTAAAATCCCGTATTTATTCAGTGACTCGAGTTCTTCAAACAAAACCATAACCGAGCATTGCGTCTGTCACCCACTCATTGTCGTAATCATGACGCCACCCATAATTAATTCAACCTGAAATCATTGAAGTCAGTGAAACCACTGAAATCAATCCACTAAACTAACCCCCCTCCCCAAAAAAAAACCAAGTGTAATACCAATTACGCAAATAATTCTGGCACTCTGAAACCCTCGATTTCAAATTATCGAAATAATTCCAAATCACTGACCGGAAGGGATTGGTGGCATATTCTAATTGAAATTCAATAACAATTCAATTTACCAATCATTAAAAACAAAATCTTCCCGATGAATGACATAAATTTGAATAATTTATTACCGTTTGACATTTTTCGAATTTTCAAAATTTTATTGCCCCCCGAAAATGACATCTCCATTTCATCAGTATGACGTCACTCAATTACAAAATACTCCCCTTCCTCCCGCCGCCCACCGCCCCTCCCATTTATCCCTTCCAAACACCGCCCAACCCGAATGATAACTGATAACAAAAATTACACAATTTCCGTAATCTCAATTTCCGGAGAGATATCATTGGGGAAGATATATTTATTTCTGGCCGTATGTGAATGATGACTAATGATTGGTCATTGGTCTGTGCATGTGGTGGCGATTGGGGGGGGGATCATGGGATGGGAAAGGGTGTCGAGGGGGGGACGGTGAAGGGGGGCCTCAGGGGGGCACCCACACAAACACTTGGGCGTTTACCATATGGGGGAATAGCGATCGACTCTCGTTGGGTTCTCGTTGGGTTCCGGTCTCGTCCTGTCGGTGCGAACTCTCGAATTCTCATGTCTCTCAGTCTCTTGTCCACGCGCCATACCGGCACTTACTTTTTCCACTTGGTCTCGTACCCGGTTAGTCAGTCAGAGAACTGCCGCGACCGCGAGTGCTCGCTTCCTTCTTCGTGGATGTCTTTATTTTATTTAATTATTTTTTTTCAACACTCTGATCAGTGTGTCGTCATTATTCATTAGTTGATTCATTACGGATGGATGACGGCAGTCTCGCTGCGAGAATAAATTTCCACCAGTCTATTTACTTGGGGAAAGCAATCGGGGGGGAGTAATTGGTTAAAATTAGGGGAACAGATAATTTGGATAATTGATGGGAATTTTGTCGGGGGAAATTGGGAGGAGAATAGTGTCGGAAAATAGTCGGGAAAATTCTCGGATTTTGGTAATTTTCGAATTCATTGAGCATTGACAGATTTTATTGATATTTATCAATAATTGATAATTTTCATTGATATATTCTGAGGATTTCATGCGTTCATAATTTTTACGTGATTCTCTCGAAATAGTTCTGATCTCGGGAATAATTCTCGGAGATGTCCACATGGCAATAGAGTCCCGGTCATAACAAACTCGAAGTCTTATTATTCCTTTTAATCCAGTGTTTATCGAGCTGCATTTACTGACGAGGTGAAAGGATAAAAATGGAGGCCTGCAAGAGCACGTGATCCAACTAAAAAAAAAAAGTAAAAACCGAGAGGATGATGATAATGACAATGATTATGTAGTGTAATCGTAATCTGCGGATGATAAAGAGCCGAAGGCGATTGGGAATTCAAGTGTGCCATAATCGTATACACGAGGGGATTTAACACCGAAATATCAGAATATAAAATGAATGACGGAATGCCAAAATTCCCTGTGTAGCCATATCTATCGCGTAAAAAAATTAATTAGAATCCGTTAATAAAACTGGGAGATTAACAATTAGGAGGTTAAATACAGCGATTGAAGTGATTGAATCCTGGGGATTTGACGGTTTTAGGAAGTGAACGAGGAAACCATTGATTTGGACTTGATTTAAATTGTCTGGAACAGCTGCACCCTCGGGTGTTGTGTTAGTTATGCAAAAGTGACAGTTGATTAAGGTGTTTGGATAGAATCGTGAGTGTTATTTTTATTGATTGGTTATCAAGATGTCAACTCAGGCTTATTACAAGGAAAGATTGGGTTTTGATCCTGCTGATACTGTTGCTGAACATCAGCGAGAACAGAGGACTCAGCATGGGTATGAGGAATCCCTCACCAAGTTCAAAGGTCAGAATGGAATACTCGGGGATTGTGAGGATGAGGGAAGGTCCAGCAGTTCACTTGCTTATTGGGGGTGCTGGGCCAAGTTCATTGAGGCACATGGTAAGGTTCACGCTGATGGTGCTTGGTTCAGAAAAGAAACGAAATTATTCTGCCAAATATTCATTTACTGAAAGAAAATATTTTTTCGAGATTCATTTGCAGAGTAATAAATATTTTGCCGAATATTCATTTGCAGGAAAAAAAAAATTCCGTTAAATATTGATTTGCTGGAAAATAAATATTTCGGTAAATATTGATTTGCTATAAATATTTTCTCTGATGAATCCTCTGGCGGAATCAATAATTTATTATTAATTTTGTCTATTTGATTATTTTTTTCTGAGATTTGCTTTTGCATTAGTTTTTTCCCTAGATTTTTTGAATAGTTTTTTTTCTGGTTTTGTTTGCGATATTTTTGCTGGCATGGTGTTTGAAGCGATTGATTGTCTCAATTAGAAAACCGAATTTTTATCATCGAATTAATTAGACCCAACCTCCTGACGTTGTAATGAAAGTTGCAATTACAATTGAATATTTATAATTACATTTCTTATGGAAATTTAATTTTTATCCAAAAAATACTGTGATTTTTCCTACAATGTCAGGATGAAAATGAATTATTACCCAGACGAATGAATTTTTTCCGGAAATATCCATTTACTTAGAAGAAATCACGGGGAATTTTACGAGGCATTGAAGAATAAAGAAATTGTCACGTAGTTTTCCACGAATTTCTCTCATATTAATTGAGGGAAACACTGGGAGAGGATAAATTTTTTTTTGCATCGTAATTTCTTGCATTGAAAGGGCTATTAAGACCCGTGTAAGAACCTTTCATCCATTTTCTTTCACCGAGAATAAGTTAACTGATCTGAAG